AGACTGTTTCAAATGAAGGGGCAAAATAGAAGAATGTGCAAACTGCAAATGGGAGGACCAGTTCTGTCTGATATGAACACACACACACACACACACACACCACACACTCCCTCCCCCAACATTAAATGCAAGCCCTGTGTGAAATTTATGGAAAATTTAAAGCTAGCTTCCCATTAAAATGGAGTTCCCCACCAACAGACCATGATTGGTCCAACAGTGGCGGAGACCTGTTGCCCACCACCAGGTTCCCCCTAGGCACCTATGCCCCTTAGGACCTTGTGGCAGGGGAGCGCACAAAGCCTTTCCCCTCCCTGCCAGGAGCACGTGGCGCTTCCAAGTGAGGTGCGCACTCTGCAGGGTGGGGGAAGGGCAGAGGAAACTGCGTGATCCCACCGCCCCATGGCCAATCAGAGTTAACTGGCAGGGGAGTGCATGAGGCTGTTCCTGGCAGGGCAGAGGAACTTTGTGAGATTCGGAGCGGCAGGGCCTCCACAGGCGGGATCAACCTTGCTTGGCGGGCAAGATCTAGCCCACAGAAGCTCTCTTGCCCGCCCCTGAGCTAGGACATAAATTACATAAATTGTTCTCAGCTTGTCCCACAAGAACTGGTGTTCATTTGCAAATGTAATACAACCAATTTAGGACTTAATAAGGATCTTAACTGGTTAACGTACTACAAAGGCAATTTCCCCTTTCTTGATATTCACATTAGGGAGGTAAGTGAGTAGTCAAGTAGACTACTCACTCCCCCACTTCCCACTACCTCTGTATCAGAGACAGCAAGGCGGGGGTGGGGGGGAGGGAGGGAGGAGCAAGAGCCGGTGCTGGGGAGATTGGGCTTAAAAGCCGGTTCCCTGGCAGCACCGTCTCTGCGGTGCCACCTGACACCCCTCTGTTAGAGGCAGCACTGCAAGGGGGGAGGGAAGGGGTTGCTGCTGCAAAGCAGCATCTACCTGCGGTAGCCTGCGGGCAGAAGCCCGTCTTTGCAGCCAGGCCCCGCCACTGAGAACAGAGGCTGC